AGTTATTAGGAAAAAATAGGTTTTCTCCTCTTTTTTAATAGGCTGTGGATGTTGATTTAGGAAAGGTCCTATTCTTGGCAAAAATGCCGTAGACGAATGATAATTATTCCACATAATGCCTCTGGAAGAAAAACATTTTTATTTAACAGCTGAATTCTAAAGTGCCGCCAATTAAATCTCACCATTGTTGTTTATTTTATTTCAGGGTAGAACCATTTTTCTATGAATCTGTAGCTCTTCCACCACTTTGAACTTTGTAGCAGCTTTATTTTATAGAATTTATATTGTGATTAAATGTTATGATTTTATACCCCAAAATAATTATGGTATATTCAAATGATATATTAGAATCAAAATACCTGATAATGTAACCAAGGGATTCTTTACTATCTTCCTCTTCTACAGTTGTATTTAAAAGGCCTCGTTCTAAAATAATACATAAAACACAAATATAAGGCATTGCCAATTATTTAATGTACAACATAAGGCATTTCAACGAGTGTAGAAAAAACTGCTTAGTTTTGAATTCCAGGTACTTTCAGTGTTTGATGGAGTATTTATCTTTTTTGTTTTTTTAAAAAAAAACATTGGTAGAAGTATAGGAGTACTGTTTGTGTTTAGATCATGTAAGCTTGATATTGTATGCTATAAAATGGAAACCAACATTATCTGCAGATTACTTGCCTGTTTTTCATATGTGTTATATTCTTAAGTAAAATATTTTTACATTTTCAAAAACTATGCAATCTGTTTTTTACCTGTAATGTAATGTAATGTAAGCCTAATTTGATTAGATTCTCAAGTTAACAACAGTAAAATACAGTATATGTAATATTGAGCTAATCTTAAGTAAAATACATCCAACTATCATGTTTACATTAAAAAAAAACTATATTCTGACTGTTATCTGCCCAGACTCACTTTGGTGAAATGGGTGGCATATAGAAATGTAATAAATTAATAAAATAAATAAATAGAAATTGATAAGCTTGAACATAAAGTCTCAAAACCTATCACAGTTAGAATAGATTCTCAGGTTATGATTGGGACCAGTGATATCACAAGCAATGCACCTGTAAAGCGCAATGTTGCATCAGCACACCAACTTATGACAGCAGTTGCAGCAGTTATGGTTGCCGTCATTAAGTGAATCAAGTTGTTAGGCACAGTACCATATGATTGTTATTTGTAACTTCTTACCAGCTTGTCAAACCCAAGCACCTGAATCACAGTCATGTGACTGGGGATGCTGACATGGTCACAACTACGAGGATTGGTCATAAGTCTCATTCAGTGCCATAGACTTGGCAGCTAAAGGAATATTTTCAAGGGAATATTGTCCAAGCAGAATGTATACCCAGCTAAGTAATCAGCAAAAAAAAAAAAAAACCCAATAGTTAAGATTTGTGTAGGAAATATCTTTGATTGCATTAACTTCTATCTATTTCCTCTAAAACATACTACATATTTTTCTCTTCAAAAATAGTTCAGGAACACTATAAATATTGGATGTAAAATTGGAGAATCCAATTTCTTCACTTAAGGTTTTTTTTTTTACAAGAAATTCTAAGTTCAGTCAGTTTACTTACAGTAACATTGCAAGTTTATGTTGAAAAAATGTTGGTTATTTGAGTAGTCCAAAGAAGAATTCATCAATAAATTCAAATTTTATCTAAGAGCAGGTGATATAAGTCTAATGATACTGCTATTTACAAATAATTCTCATCCAGTAATGAGAAATGAAAATTTAAATAAAACCTGCCTATAATCTTGGATTTCATGGCCTATAAATCTGAAATCCAAATATTTATTATAACAAAGTTAAATAAGGTTCCCATAAATGTAAACCATTCATGAAACATGGAATAGCTGGTGAGCTTATCGTAGTTAAAACATTTTTAAAAATGCTGAAGTTATACACCTTGTTTTATGAATGACTAAACCACTAGTCCTGTGGCCTGTTTTAATTATTAGTCATAAAATAATACAGAGTCATAAAGAACCTTTTTAATCAGTGACCCAAACTGTTAGTATTTCATTAATGTACGAGAATACTTTGTAGATAAGCCTTTAATTATGCATGGGAATTTTATATAAATAGTCTGTTTGGTATTTATAATTAACTTTGAGGAACTAAATGTCCATGTAGTCTGATATCTAGGATAATGTTGCCTGAAGAGAGAGGCTTCTGTATGAAATATATTTTCTGATGAAATCTAGTTAAAAAAAATAACATCCATGTTGATGGATGTTAAAGTAAGTAGACATACAACTGACTGTTTTCATATATACAACACACATAACCACACATCTCAATTATACAAGATTGTTGTGTTTCCTGTAACTCAAAAATTCCTAGTGTGTGTTCCAATACATGATAATATGCTCTACAAAAATCAGTGCTAAACATAAGCACTCTTTAAAAATAAAGATCCATTTGAACCCACCCATAGCCAACTATTAGAACACCAACCTGTTCTCTTGTTATAATTTTTTTTCATTCTCCCACTTAAGATTCTGAAGTCAGGTTTTGAAAAACGAGGGTTTTTCAGAAGATGGATAATTTTTACAATTAAGAAAAAAATAGTACAGTAGACTTGTGAGTGGTACATCCAATTAAAAATACACATCACCTTTGAATTTAAGAAAACCCAAGGCATTATAACCAAAACAAGCTGCCACATTTTTCTTCTATGCTTAACAAATTATGGAATAATTCATGTAATATGTAAATATACTATCTGTTTGTTTGCATGTAGCTCTTGAACCCCTTCCGCCAGATTATTATTTTTGTGTGTGTGGTAGTTTCAGGGTCAACTCCAACCATAGTTGCTGAAATTAATGGCATAATTTCCTCCATTTTGATATCATAAACACTCAGCATTTAAAAAAAACCCTTAAGAATTTTTAAACAAGAAAATCCTGAAACTCTCTAAAGAAGTTTACTCTAAAAAGTCATTATGCCCCATGTACTTGTACGCCTGTTCTTATATCTTGATGCTGAAACGTGTAGCCATCAAAAAATTGCCCATCCCCACCCTTGTTGATTGTAAATTGCCTACTGTGGGCAATAAACTATTATTGGTGCTTGGTTGAGCTGCTCTCAAATCTTTAC